TGAGGAGTTTCCACATCACACTCATGCAGACAAGGACAACGTTTGAGCACAGTCTCTGTCCTCTGTAGAGCTCAGGAGTGAGGCTTTGAAACTGGGACACTGGGGATGCCGCCATCCCCTCCTGCTCCAGGCACCATGAGGCACTCTGCTATACGACCGCACTGCAAAGTAGGTTGACCTTGGTTAAGTGGGTCCAGGAAATCTTGCCTGTTTTACCAGAGTAACTGTCTTTCATGTGTCCTCTAGCTACAGCCTGCAATTTTCTGAGTCACCCCTCGGTTCTTTGTTACATTAAATAATTGCATTACATTGGCTACTTGCCAGCATTTACGGCTCACTGCCGGACTCCATGAGTATATAACACTGCCTGCCTGTCCCTGGTTCTTCTGAATTGCCAAATACATGGAGCAAAACTAGTCAGTCCTTCCTCATTACTAAAACAGAATGTGCACCTCACCATGGTTTGGAGTGAATGCTTGTCCTCTGTTCGCCCTGACTGCCAGGTAGGGAAGCTGTTAACGCTATCCTCACCAGGGACAAGGGTTTCAGTCAGCCTGAGTTGGCTGAACAGTGCCTGGCTTGTTCCTAAAGGGTGCAAAAAAGGGGTTGGAAAATAGGACTGACATTTGGCCCTAAGACCTAGATGTGGGCTGCTTGGTCAAATCTTGCTTCTGCTGGCAGCAAGCAAGTCATAAGCTCACAGCAGAGCCTAGGTGAGTAAGAACACTTGTATGTCTCTAGTCCAACTTCCTGCTCAAATCAAGGCTAACTCCAAATGAGATCAGGTTCCTCAGGGCTGTGTTTAGCTCAAGTCTGAATATTTCCCACACTGGAGTCCTCGCAGCCTCTCTGGGCACTCCAGTACCCTGGGGAAGAATATTTTTCCTTACATCCAGTTGGGGTTTCCCTTTGCTGCAGCTTGTGCCCATTGCCTTTCACTGTGCACCTCTGGGAAGAATGTAGACTCCCTCTGCTTTATAGCCCCCTTGAGGAAGTTAAAAGCTGGAAGAGCATCCCCACCCTCCTTCACCTTTTTTTTTCCTCAGTACTGAGCAAAGCCCACACCCTTAACCCCTTCCCATATGCACATACATGAATGCATGTGCCCATTAGCTGCAAGAGCAAGCTCTCCATGAGGCTGCTTTCCTAAACCACTGTCAGGCCTCCACCCACAGAAAATCCAAGGTTTGCCTGATATGCTAGCCCACCACAGGTTAGTTTCCTCATCAGCAAGATGTTATTGTTCCTCTGCAAGCTCCCCACTGGAAAGGCTCAACACCCGGTCACATAAAGCCATCAGCAGACTTGCCTGCATCTTGGCCTGCAACCGAAGCCTGTGACCTCCCTGCTTTAGCGACAAGAAACAGCAAAGACATGCTTGTTTCTTCAGAGCTGAGCATTAAAACTCATTTACCCTCCTGCAGCTCTCATCAAGCCAGAATGACATCTCTGGAGCAAAGCCCAGAGAATAGTTTCAGGGCAAAAGGAAGCATTTCCCTCTTTTGTGTCTATCTTCCCTCCAGCAGCCAAATCTACCAAGCCCAAGAACCAAAGCTGAGTGCCACATCTGCCATTAGCAATCACCATGATTCTGGCCACTGGTGTCCAGCAAAGAATACTGCCCTGGTGCTTCACACGAGCGGCTGGTGCTGCAGCCCCCCCAGAGCAGATCAGGTAGCCTGAGCCAGCACCCACTTCCCATGAGATTCCCAAGGGAGAAGGTGTGGATGGACAGAGAGGTCCCAGTGGGTTGCTGCCCTTTAGCTATGCCCCAGGCACAGGGTCAAAGACTGGAGTGAGGTGCCGCTGAGACAGCACAGGGGTGGGATTCCCACATGAAGCTCTGTGTGTGGGAGGGAGGGGAGGCAGGTCCCCGGCCCGTGCTGCCTTTGTGAGACTGTGCTCACCCTTCCAGTGCTCCCCCACATGGAATCGCACAACTGTGCAGAGGATCATTTGTTAAAAAAGACCAACTGAACACCCCAAGCATCAGCATGCAAACAGTAAAGCATTTACAGCCTAGCCTTGATGGACAACAGTTACTATTTGTTTGGCTTTCTGTCCCATCCTGCTTCTGGAATCATGACATGGGTAACAGTGGAGGTGAATCCATATGCACTTTTGCTGCTTCAGTTGTTAAACATCCACAGTTTTCCTAAATAAATGCTTGGGATCTTCCTGGTGACTGTCTCAATCCTGCTGGCTGAGATTGCTGGCTGTTTTAAATATCCCACTTGGAGAACAACCCCCCCAGTACTCTAAAGAGAGAAAAAAATCAGCAATTTACTCTCATGCTTTATCTCCAGCTAACTCTAACGCAGTTGTCATTCAGATACTTCAATTCAGCATAATACCTCAATTTAGCTCTTAATTGGTAAGAGCAAAAAATGTCTTTCTAACCTGGTCATTTAGAGACCTTACACTAAATACAGCCTCACAAGATTCTCAAAGCACACTAAGAAGCTAGATCTCCATACACGGTCTTAGAAGAAATCAGCTGGAAATAATTGTGGGCACCGAAGATGCAAAATACTTTAAATACTATTTTATGTGCTGCACATGCAACATTAAATAGATACAGTTCTAGCTTTTTCTAGTAATATGAAAAATTAATCCCACTCTTCACCCCATTTTAAACTTACCCCAGGCTAGCTGAAGATCCTTCAGCACTGGCGGTTGCCAGAGTTGGGAATTAGCACTGTGCAGGAAAGGAGAGACAGAGGAGAACAATGGTGGCTTGACGTTTCCCAGGATGGGACTGTCACATGCTAATCGCTGATCTGAAATGCAAGCATAACAAATGCCTTCTAATTATGTAATCTTCAGGTCACATCCTTGCATCCCCATGCAAAAACCAGGACTGTGCACTTGGAAGAAGTTGATACTGACTTTTTTCCTTTTTAATTAGAACTGCACACTGCTGCCTTGTGAAGTGACAGGCAGAGGGGGCCGTGTTGTGAGAGCCAGGTGCTGATGTGGTCTCCGCTGCTTCATCGAGCTCAGAGGCTCTTAAGTACCGCCTGTGGCACCCAAGCGAGGCAGCCTGCAGTTGGGGACAGGGAGACAGGGCCAGCTCCTCCCTGCCTTCTCTGACACCCTCAGTCTCCTACCACGCATGGCCTCACTATGGATGCCAGGGGCAGGAGGGCTCCCCTTCTTTCATTCAGGGGCCAAGAGTAAGGTTGCCAAAGTAGCCAGGGCAGAGCAGCAGCAACCACCAACACTTGTGTAAATAAATAAGGGCTTGGAGGAAGGTGGGAGAATGGGAGGCAGGAGCCCTCCACACATGGTCCATTTCTTCACTAAGGTCCTTGCAGGTCTTTTTGCTCTTGAAGGTCATCAAGAAAGCACAGGGAGAATGCAGGTAACTCAGGGCCAGGGGTGTCAGGAAAAGGTTTGAGTCAGTCCAGTGTCACTCCGAAGCATAAGAGCAGGGAGACATAAAGGAGGAGGAACAGTAACAAAAGGCTATCTAATTTCTCCCTGAAAGACAAAATATATGCTTCAAAGATACCTTTCAAGCAGAAAACCTGAAATCTAAAACCTCACAGCCTAAATCAGTATAATAGCTATGCAGCACAGATAAATGTGGTGATGTGGAGTCCTAGCAAAGGAGCTGAAAGGACAGGCTCATAGATTAACAGAAGCTCTGTGGAAGATGCTGCTACCTCTGAAGTCAAGGACTAGGACAGAGGACACTATTTTTTTGGACCTGGCTATTTCAGGAGCAAAACACAACAAAATTGAACAAAGTAAAATTATAGTTCTGAAGGAATTTGCTATAAAGTGCATTTTTTGTGGGTCAGAGATAACTGAATTCAACAAATAGCTCAAGCTAGGAAAGCGTTTGTTTTTTTTTTTTTTTAAATAAAAACTTTTAGCTTCATGAAATCTATGAACAAAACATTTCAAACCAAGATTTTCCTACAGGCAGCTTTAAAAAAAAGGTCTGAAAGGTGTTACATTGCCAAATGATCCATGAGCAGCTTTGTTTCAAATGGCTCAGTATGTTTCAGTCTGCTGATAATGTGCTGGTTTTTCATTGTGCTAAGAAACGCAGGCCCAAGATTTTTCCAAATCCTAGCAAAATTATCTGAGTATTTGAAGGCACATTTGAAGGAAGAGCATTTGTACATTGTGCCTATGAATGGAGGCAAGGACAGGTATTTACTAAAACTCCACCAAATATCTGGCAAGCAAAGACTTGACACGCATTTTTTCCTGACAGCGCTAGTATGTTGTGTTTTATTTTTTTAAACTAGAAAGCAGTTTTTCTGCTTTGTAAAGCAGAGTATTTAGATTCATAGTGTAGAGACCTTTGGTGACCAAATGCAAACTTAAATAGAAATAGATTTTTCATTGCATTAGACTTTCTGATGGGACAGTGGCAATGATCAGGCTCCCCTGTCTACTTCCCCTCCCAGAGTAAAGCAGCTCTGGTGCATGGCAGCAGTCTGTCCTTGAGCTGTCTGGTACCGCAGCCTGGGGTTTATGGGCTTGACCTGTGCGGACTAACTACTGTGTTACAGCTGCACTCCCGCTCTGCCCTGATTCCACTATGCAACACCTGGGTTAGGGTAAACATGATCATATGAGCACTATGTTTGCAAAAGCTTCTGTGGGTGGCAAGGTTTGTTTTCTGGGTAAAGTTACAAAAGTTGAGCATAAATTAGGCTTCATTTGTTGATGACAGTTGTTTGGTTTTTTTTTTTAAATTCGGGGAGAAAGATATTCCTAGGGCAAGTTAAAATAAAAAAAAAAAATAAATAAAAAAGAATTCTAGTCATTAACTGCTCCACTTAGGAATTCACTCTATCCAACTTCATTTCTTTAAGGTTTTCATTTAGGAGACTTCAGCTGATCAGTCTGAAAAGAAAAATAATTTTATTTACTGTTGACATGCATCCTCAGGGGTTATTTTTAATAAATACCTGAAGAAATCAATGCCTGTTGAAAACTGGTCATAGCTGTTGAGCCCAGAATGCATCAAAGAGCTGCTTTTAACCAGTGCTGTCTGTGCCAAATAGCCACATTTTCAACTTCTGCTTCAGCCCCACTGCTGTGGAGCCATGAAATGTGCCACTCCACTCCATTTTCATCTATAAAGTCTCCTTCACCTTCCATCCTGTAATGACATAAATCCAGCCTGTTGAGAATGCAATCAGTTTGTGGCAGCACAATGATGTGTGCACCACCCAGATAAGCAAATTGCCAGGAATCAGAAACTTCCCAGTGTAGTGTAAGGACCTGCCTTAACTTTCTCCCACATTGTAGCCTGTAAAAATTTTGACCTACAAAGCACACAGGTTAAACAGCCAAGGAACATATTCCTTTCTTTGCAAAACTGTATTTATACTAACATCCTCCCAGCATGGAGTTTTTCTATAGGAAAAACTTCCTAGTCTTAGTCACAATTTGAAGTTACCAGGGATTAAGTCCTATGAAGTTGACTTTCATTAGGGGCAGATGTGTAAGTGTATGCAGCCAGTTACTCTGTGATCTTCTTGCTGTAAAAATCCATCCTCTCTTACCCTTATCCCATCCTGCTATGTGCTGTTATGACAAAGTGCAAAAATTTACAGCCTGCAGGAAAAAAAAAAACTGGCATGTGAATTCAGTCTTCATAAACCACATATTTCTGCTGATCTTTGAAAGCTGTGATCAAGCTGTGATCATTATACCTGAAAACTGCTATAAAGAAGAAATGTCTATGCATCAGCATCCCTTGCAAATAAGGGGAAAATAACTTTTAAAATCAATTACTGGAGATCTGTTTCCCTTAAAAAATGAAGCAGTCACAGCAAGTTGCTATGGTGCTGCCTATTTAATGTTCTCTCATGAAAGCTACAGTGATCTGGTGAACTGACACCTATCTCATGTGAGTAGGTAGAAACCAGCAATCCTGAAACTTGGAAAAGTAGCCTGCATTGGGCTGTCAGGCAGTGGCGCGTATTAACAGTCACAAAACAGCATCAAAAAGAAGAGGTGAAAACAGCAGTGGCTGGCAAAAATTGGATCTCTGCTGCCAAGGGTGTATCTACATCAATATTTGAGTTAGTTGAAATCACAAGTTCAAATCAGAACCAGCTGGTTTTCTGTGCAGATCAGCTACTAGTGACAAGCACTGTGCCGGCCCCTTTGCAGTGGGCTGTATTTTCACAAGAGAGTGAAGGCATCACCCTAAGATTTTTGAGAGAAAATGCCTGTAAAGCTACATAGGTGATCTACTGCTGAATGCCCTCACTGAAGTGATGAGTTCAGGCTTCATGCAGAATTCACATCTGTCGTTTAGGATGACAGCAAAAGACAGAAGCTCTGTAGCAGGTTTCCTTTGTAGCCTCTGTCTCCAATTCTTACTCATAAGCTTTTGACCTCCTCATGGCTATTCTTCAAGGGCAGCTCGTCACACTGTATCAATTTCTTGATGTGGAGGGTAATGCCTCCACCCTTGCTTCCTTTCCTGTCCCTTCTGAACAGCCTGTAGCCATCAATAGCTACATTCCAGTCATGGGATTCGTCCCACCAAGTTTCCGTAATGGCAAACAGGTCATAGCTTTCCAGCAGTACGGTAGCTTCCGACTCCTCCTGTTTGTTTCCCATGCTGTGTGCATTCACATAGAGGTATTTCATCTGGGCTGTTGGCCATGTCACCTTCTTAGTGACCTTCTTAGTCACCCCTTGTTTCCCATGAGGTGTTTCACAGAAGTTTCCTTGTTGGCTTCTACCACCTCAGGAGCCCACAGCTCATCTCCGCAAGACTTTGAATGTGCTGCAGTGTCCCTAGCATGCCTCTGGGCAACAGGTTAAGGGCTCATACTAGCACCCTTTAACTGTTGTGTATCATCCCACAGCTTGTTACAGGTCAGCCTGATATGTTCCCCCTTCACATCTCATTTAAAATCCTGTCAATGAGTCCCACAAGCTCCTGAGCAAACACCCTCTTTCCCCTTTGACAAAAACGGCTCCCATTTGATGCCAGCAAGCCTGGTGCAGCATAGGCCATCCCATTGTCAAAAAGCCCAAAGTTGTGACGGTGACACCAGCCACAGAGCCATGTATTAATAGATTGGGTCTGCCTGTTCCTTTCAATGTCACTGCCCACAACTGGAAGGAGGGAGGAAAAAATAACCTGTGCCCCAGATTCCCTCACTAACCATCCCAAGGCCCTGAAGACTTTTTATTAACCCTTGGGCTATGTACTGCAACTTCATCAGCACCCATATGGAAGAACAATAACGGGTAGTAGTCTGAGGGCCGTACCAGGCTAGGAAGTTGCCTAGTGATATCTCTAACCTGGGCTCCTGGGAGGCAGCAGACTTCCCTATGAGAAGGGTCAGCCTGGCATTTTGGACCCTCTGTTCCCCTCAGAAGGGAGTCTCCTACAACTATGACCCATCTATTCTTCCTTCTGGAGGTGGTAGTAATATGGTCTTTCTGGTCCTGACAACTCTGCCGGTGTAGATGGATTGACACCCACATCATCTCCACTGACTGGTCCTCCACATCTACAGCCTCATACCAGTTGTGCAGAGGCACCTGGGGAGGCATAGTGGGCAAGGAAAGAGTTTGCTTGCTGCCCCAGTTGTGGACTTGTTTCCACTCACTGCTACCCTGTAAGGCCCTACCTACATCCTGGCGGGAGGGGATACTGGATCCCTTTGATCACAGGCTTTTTCTGGTGGCTGTCCCCATTCAGGTTTCCGGGAGGCCAGAGCGTGGTTCCAACAGTCCCTTGCTCAGACTCCCTGATGCTTCTTAGCCTATCTACTTCCTCTCTTAGCTCTACCACCAGGTCAAGTAGATAGTCCACCTGAACACACCTTACACAGCTGTTCCCTCTGCTGACATCCAGTACAGTTTCCAGTACAAGCTGTTGGCACTCCCTGCAGCAGGAGACCTGGACAGCTATGCATTTTCCTGGGAGGTCAGTCTGGGTTGATACATCCTTTCTGGCTACTGCAGAAGAGATAGCCATCTGCTGGGTGGATGCCATGGCTACACTCCCTCTCGCCAACTGAACTTAGGTCTTAAGCTGGTAGAGAGAATTCACCTTCCCTGTGTGCCCTGCCTGCGCAAACTGCCATGCCACGCCATGTCATGTCCTTCTGAGGCACTCCCTGGGGGCTGCTCTTGTACCTGAAGGGATCAGGCCACTGTCACTCTTGTCCCCGCCCGTGCTGAGCCAGAGCTGCCGCTCATCAGGAGCCCGCTCTTTCCCGCTCGGGGGGTGGGTGGTGTTTTAATTCAATGGTCCAATGTGCTTTGCTCCATTTGGAGGCATGTAGGTTCCAGCCCCATGGAACATGTTGTCTTTGAACATAGACTTCATAAACTGCTCCAGAAGGATGTTATAGCCTTCCAGTACCATTCACCTGCACTTAATGAGATGAAGGATAAAGAAAATGGTTGTTTATGCTTATAGTATTATTTCATTTCACTGCAATATCCTTTCAGATTGCTGCCTTTGAGTCTGCTGTCATATTCAGATATGATAATGGAGAGGAAAGTGACTTTTCTTTCAGATTTCAGACAGGTTCCTGCTTCTACAAGGATTTCAGGTAAGAGCTGAGAAGTTTTTGGCCAGCCACAGTGCCCAATAAACCCCTCCTCTGCTGGTAGTCTCACAGGGTCGTAACAATCCATGCAGCATGGAACAGCTGTACCCAGCCCTGCAAATAACTCATCTACCCTGACAGCCTGAGGGGTTAACTAAGTTTTCCAGAATTTCTTTTTGTGGATCAAGGCACAAGAGCACGTCTTTCATTTTTTCAGCCTAGGCCACTAAGCCATGCCTGGGGATTTAAATCTGTGCTGTAAAGCACTTCTATGCCATAATCTTAATTCTTATAATTGCACCAATACTTTTGCAAGAGACTGAAAAAAAGGCCAGACTAATAAAGCTGCGAGATGCTGTTTCCTAATTGCAGATTTCCTTATTTGTCTCATTTCAAGGACTGTCTCCTCTCCAGCATCAACAAAATAAGCAATTTTCCTATACTTACTAATTCATTCCTGGAGAAGCCAGTAACCAAGGGCAGCCAAACAGTGGTGTATCTGCCGATGGCCAGAGCTCCCCTGTTTCATTGTGGGATGTGTGTGTGGTGTATATACACGTGCAGGACGGCCATGCCTTCCCCACTATGTGTGCACTGCCCCTTTGTGCAGGGCTTTCACAGTGGCTGTGCCATGCTGGGCACCATCCGTGCCACACTGCCCAGGTGTTTCGCCTGCAAGTGATGACTGGTCTGCTGGCAGAGGGATATCTGAAGAACCTCAGGTGTCTCAAGTTTTCAGACTGGGCTGTGACAAGATTCCCAGGTGGAAGAAGAGCCTGCAGCATTGGTCTGATCCTTCTCAGGTTATGACTTCCCTTTCTGTGTCTTTTTAAGGGTAGATATAGTGAGACGTGCTCCATTCCAAACCTAGAAAAAGTTTAAAATGAAGGAATACTTAAAATTACGTTGTCATTTTTTCAATCTGCCAACATACATAGTTCCGTTGGTGCCTGTGTGAACTACATGACCATTCCTTTCAGCACCCTTGGGTGTCCTTTTGTGCTCCCCCTCTAGAAAACAAGAGTGGTGGAAGACAGGTATTTTCACTTCAAGACAGAGAACATCTGAGAGGCAAAACCCTGAGATTGCACAATGCATTTCTTCTGTTGCACAAAGCCATTTCTCCCAGAGCTGACTCTCCATCTCCTGTGGACAGACTGCTCCCAGAGATGGTCCCTTGGAGCACGCAAGCCCCGCTGGAGCAGGCGCCTTTGGGTGCCACACAGAGAATGTTCTGTTATCCGTTCTTCCACCACCGCTGAGCCCCACTGTGGGGGTGGTAGGGAGCTGGCATGAGGCAGAGCAGACCCCAGCTGACCATCAGGCAGTGGCTGTGGCTGTCTGCAGGAGGATCCTGAGGAAACACCCCATGGCAGCTTCTGTGTGCCTGTGCAGGGTTCTTACATAGCCAAAGCAGTGTGTTACTTGGGTAAAAGTCCATTTTTGCTGGTATAATTTTTTGCTTTAAACTCCAACCTGGCACAGGTTGCCTGGAGGGGTTGTGGAGTCTCCGTCCATGGAGACATTCCAGACCCGATGGGATGTGGTCCAGGGCAGCCATCATAGGTGACCCTGAGTGTGCAGTGGGCGCTCCCCACCTCAGCAGCACAGCTTCGGGGTCACTTGTCACTTAAGTAACACTCAGCCTGAAACTGGTACAGATTTCCTCCATTTTAATCCCATACCCTCAGTTTTACAAAAGGAATTAGCACCTACCAAGATTTCCTTACCATACTTGTCTTTATTTGGGAATATGAAAGACACTTCAAAAAAACGCAGCATCTGTTGAGAAAGAAACAACCAGTGTCACTGTCAACAACTGTTGGCTGAAATTCAAACAGATATATACAAATAGATATTCAAATACACAGCAATATATATTAAAACACACAGCAGCTCGAAACCGCACATAATTATCAGCGTGCTGCTTGAGTGTGCGATTCTTTATAGGGGAGCCCTCAGTCCCGTCCGCGGGGCACCGTGTGAGGGGCGCGGGGCGGCCGGCAGGAGACAGCGTCGCCGCCCGTGGTTGC